TAGCAATAATATAAAAAATCCAAAACTGCACTACAAATTAAAAACCACAATTAGTCCCGATTAAATTTGTATTTTTTAATAAATTTATTTTATTACTTACGCAGCCACGTATTCGATTGTTGTAAAAGGCTCAACTTCTTTTGTGTGACAGAAATCTTCAGTAATTCTACTGGATTTGATAATATCTGCGATTGGTTTCAAAATTGGATTTTGTAGTAAAGTCGAATTTGCAATAATTTGCCCCAATTTGCTTCCTCGACAGGAGGATGGAACGCAATATGATAATCCTATTTCAGCAGCTCCAAAACCTTCTCTTGATAAGTGCCTGAAATTTTGGAAATTGAAAGCAAAAAATTATTTCATTGATTTAGTAATATTTTTTGAAGTTGATATTTTGAATATTTTAAAAAGCAATTGTGGTTTGCCATTTATTTAATAATATTTGTCGGTCAACTGTGCATTTTCAGTAGGTGCCTATATAAAAGGTTTGAGGCTAAATTTTAAAAAGAAAAATAAAGAAATATTATAAGAAACTTGAAGACGAAGAAGATTAATGAAATACTTAAAAATATTTTAATTATAATAAATAGTATATTAATGTATAATGAGATAGTCAAATGAAATGTATATGAAAACTGGATTCATAATCTCTCGTACCAGACACCTCTGTCTGACTGAGGTATGATGATGATCTTTTTGCAATAGTTTCAGATAAAATTTGTGTAAATTTTCCAATAATTTCAAAGTAAATATTGGTAAACAAGAGTGAATAGAAAAATATTTAGATTATCATATCTGTTGCCAATATAACTAACACCATAGTTGGTTTTTAGGATTTTGTCCTCGAAGATTTCAAAATGAAACTCTCGAATTTAATTATGTTGTCTGTTTATTTTCAGATCAGAAAGCTCACAATCAAACGTAAATTTTGTCTAAAAATATTTTTGATATAATTGCAGTTCAAAAAAATTGGTTATTTTACCTTTGAGCAAGAAGATAGAAGGATACTAAAATAAGATTTTATAAAAACCACACAGCACAAATTTACAATCCCGTCTTGGTCTATGATCTTTGGAGAAATAGAAGATATGGATAGGAATTTTCAATATTTTATCCCTACCTTGTCAATTCATGTTTCCACATATCTCTTGAACTGTTAAATAAACCTCGTGTATCAATCCCTGTCATTTGTGAGGCAATTGCCAAAGGTATATAAATTAGGCAGTGTTGACCATAAAAGTCTCCTGAATCAACCGAAAGGCATTCATCATAATGTCCAAAATCAGCCATATTACCGGCTAATAGACCGGCCTGCAGTTTTGTTGAAGAATCCAACACTAATAATAAGAAGTTATGATAAACATATTGAAATCTGAATAATGACAACTAATATACAAAATATTTTGGTAAACAATACATGAAAATGAACACAGAGGAAAATGATTAAGATGAAAGCATGTCATAAATATTCATAAAACGATTTTTTACTAAAAGTATAGTTTAATACTCAGTTTTATAGTCAGTTATAAAATGAAATATAAATGTTGTATAATGCTTTCAAATCTATTTCCCTAATTTAACTAGAGTTTGCAAAAAAAATTAACATATACTCGTATTGTTATAATATATTCATTCATTTTTAAATTATATTGATTAAAAAACACAATTTTTTACAAAAGTTTGCAGTGAATCAAGAGCATAAAAAATTAATAAACATGACTTCAAAAATTTAATATCATTCAATAAAACCTGAAAAATTAATTTAGTAATTGATTTTTATTAGGGTGAGTCGGTTTTAAAAATCGGTTTTTACCGGTTTTTATAAGAGAATTGTCGAGTTCGAAAACCGGTTTTTAGTAGAAAATACTGGTTTTTAATGTATGAATAACACTTGAAAAAAAATGAGAAATGACATATGTAGCTAAATGTACCAGATATTTGGTACATTTTATAAAATATTTATATCTACATATGGAAATTATCAATAAACTACGATAATTAATTTTATTTGAAGTTATTTAATCCTGGTCAATTATTATTTTTGTTCTACTAAATTGCATAAAAAAATATCAAAAAGAAAATTAAACAATAAAAATTTTAGTCGAATCTGCTGTAATCAATGGAAAATGTCTGTTAAAAAATTATGTTCGAATTACTTTATCCAATGTTTTTAAAAATCCTTGAAACCGGTTAAAATCAACTTTTTTAAAGAAATACTATACGGGCACCGGTTGTTTAAAATATGAGTTTTTGTATAAATCCTAATTTAAATATCATATATATTTGTGGAAAAACCTCTGCATTCTGCATTTGTGTGTTATAAGTAGAATATTATGTTGTAAATATCTCTCACCACAAATTAAATGTTTGTTTAACATTTTCACTATATATATATTTTAAATAATAAAAAGCTTCTTGAATTATTCTGCATTATAACAAATCTAAAAAGACACTTGTTTTTCTTCTTAAATAATAGTTAACTCATAGCATGGCGTATTAATTTATATAATGTTCCTATCCATTATTGTATAATATTCTATTATTAGTTGCAAAGATTCAATATTTAATTAAAAAAAATATTTAATCTATGTAAAACTAATATTTGTATTTACAATTATTTAAGTAAATTATTACTTACTTTGTAGAGCCCATTGTTTAGGTTTTGGGGAAATCAGTGCTTGTGCATATTTTGTCAAGTGTTCTTCACATATTTATCACTGAACCTAAAACTACTTTTAGAAAAAGAACTTTCAACATCATAAATATATATACACTCCACTTACAAACCAGGATTTGAACACAAGATATGAAGAAAAATAAAAACTACGTAAACCAAAAATTTTTACACCACATTTTTGCTAAAAATATTTATATAAATTAGCAAATTAGATCTACACTTGAATATTTATTATTTATAATATCACTACATGCTTCTAATCAGGGCAAATTCGCCTACGTTCACTGATTGAATGAAATCAGTTCATTTCCAAATTTTTTATCGGATTTATTGAGCCATACAGATTATTAGCAAAACAAAGCTTGATTTTTGATTTAATCATATTATGAAATCAATAGATAAATATTTTCACAAAATTTGTGCGAAGAATGGGATGAGGTCATTCGATGAAAATAGAATAATAGCACTAAATTGCTTGCAGTTCTAATTATTTGTTAGAATTATAAATTTGTTGATACTATTTATGAATAAATTAATATAAATTAAACTACACAGATATTATGACAGAATTTATTTTTTAGTTTGAAAGTCATGTATGTTAATTTTGATTGCATTTTAGAAGTTATTGTTTGGTAAATCAATGTTTATCTACTTAATTTTTTGCTTCTGAATTTTGTTATTTAAAGATAATTTCAACTTTGCAACATGTTCTATTATCAATTCTGATAAGTTTTTGATTGTTTGAATTGTTCAAGGTGATCGATTACGCTAATTCTCAATCAATCAGATGTGACATATTAATTCAGTTCCAAATATAGTATCTAAACGCTATGTCACAATTTTTAATTTTTTAGTTTTAAAAAGATAAACACATAGTTGGTTTTCTTAATTTATTAGATTAAATTTAAATCAAATATTATTATGAAACATTATAAAATAATTAGATATAAAAAATATTCATATTATATAAATCTTACATATATTGTAAAACTAAATATAATCTTAAAAGTTATTATAAAATTAGTGGCGGTTTTGCAAACAGTCTGGAAATATTTATATACAACTAAATTATGTTTTGATTTATCACATTGAATACCAATATTAATAAAAATCTTGCTTCTTCATATCTTGCTAAGTCTTCTCTCTGAAATTGTTTCATTGAATTTTATTGCCCTTTGTTCTGAAAATGTTTATTTACTCTTAATGTAATATATTTTGAATTCTTTCTATTTATTCCAGCACATAATATTTTTACTCATTTACCTTTTCTATAAATATAGCATCTCTCTAAATTTTTCACAGGCAATTCGAATAGCAAATGCCATACGAAGGCTAATGCTAAAATTACTACAAAGTCTCCAAAAAATAGTTGGACCTAAAATGTGATAGAAATTCAATTAATCAATTTTTATAAACAATGTTTTATGATTTTTCTTACCGTTCTAATATTTGTAAAATATTGTGGAGTTCTCAAACTTGCTATGCTGGTCAATTGAACTTGTAAATGCAGTAAATACATGCAGTATGATAATTTGCTAAGAATTTCAAATATACGCTGCGAAAGAAATTTATTAACCCAACCTGAAAAAATAAAATAATTAACTGATAAATGAAAAAATGAAAAATCATTGCAATGTCTGCAATTATCTCTTTTGTAACAGTGACAAAAATTATAAAAAATTAATGACGAAAAGTTGATAATGATCTCAATTCTTGGAAAAGATGACTCGTGAAGTCTACAGGAGAAACACAGTTTTTAATACAAAAATACTTTAGCTTATAAATATCTATTTTATTTGCATGTGGCGATTTGTTAGGAATAAATTGAGCAAAAATTACAATTATGATATTAATTTCTAATTCTTTGTTTTAAATTACCTTTTTCAGAGAGTTGGCAAGTGTAGATAATCCAGCATGTTGCACACGCCCAAGCTGTTCTACTAATGCTCAAATGCAAAGTGGACCAAATTTCAAAATCATACTTTTGAAGCATCCATGTACTTAAAATAATAGCAGAAATCGTCAAACAAGATAAAATCCATCCAATTAGAAAGACTAACTAAAAACAAAGGGAAATATATTGATATTAATCCTTTCCACTCGCAAATTCTAAGATTTATATGAATTTTGCCCCGGAGCAGCGGCATCCGAGTGGAAAGGGTTAATTCTATGTTTGTGTATGAATGTTAAAAAAAGACATTAGTGAGAATGAAATTCTACTAGAAAGATATACCTTACTAAGTTTATGGTCTTGTTTTTCTTGAATATGGAGTTTATATCCCAAAATTATGCCAAGCAACCAAGGAGCAGCTCTTGCATGAGTTGGAAGATATAGATGAACTTGTCTTAATGGATTTCTGGAGATCGAATTAACAAAACCAAATATATTAACTTTACAATAAGCATTTCAGCATGTCATAAATACTTTGAATATTCTAATATAATAGTTTAAAAAAAATCGTAAAATTATTGCTATGGTAATTAGTATCAACCATATTATTAAACTTACGAAGGTAGTGTAGATGCTGGAAGATGTTCCAAATATGAAACCAAAAGGCAGTAACTAATACTGCTGATAATTAGAAATATTAATCCGATAATTGCTCTTTTTGGCCACTTACTCAATGCAGATAATATTACAGGAGAAATGAGATATAACTGAGCGTCCAGAGAAAGGTACCAAGATTGCCCAACACACTGAAATAAAAAAAATTAAGAATACTTTTTTACATTTAGGATTTTATACAATATCTACGTATGATACATCTAGGTATATCGTCAATTTATGCTATTTACATGGTATGGTATTCTTGATCCTGAAAATGTGAATGTTATGGATCAAATGTAATTTTATATATGGTATTCTTGATCCTAAAAATTTGCTTTTCTTTTACTACTTACTATCTCATCTGGATTAACATAGTTTTGAATATGAAGCAAAGCTGACCACCAATGATTGCGACAAATTTCTGTTTCCCTGGTCGCAACAGGTTTCCAATTTGGCCCAGAACCGAGTCCCAAATTTTTGGTGGTTGCTCCCAGCAATATTGCAGGTGCCAAAGGTGCAGTCAGACGGATATAACGATGTAAGTAGAAATATTTAGTAGAAAGTATTTTTGATGTATTTTGATTTCGGAAATATGATCTGCATGTCAATAAGCCACTTAAGACTAAAAATGTGTCGACACTGTAATGTGATGATAGAACGAAGGCGCTGATTGGATTGTAGAGCCACTAAAAATCAGACAAAGTTAAATATTTTTTAAACTGGTAAGTAAGTAGTTAATTACAATAAGCTTTCGTACCGATTTAAATATAGTAGAATTTCCCACAGGGAACATAGATGTCAACATATACCTATGACCAACTAACACCCATACTAAACATAGAACTCGTAATCCATGAAGACATTTAACATCACTTTTCCTGGTGTTATTGAAAACTTGTTTGCAATTACTTCGTAAACTAAAAGCTACAAACCATGTCCTAAGATCCGAATCCAGTTTTGGATCAATAACATTTGTACCATTATCTGAAATAGAAATCATTTATTTAACATGTCGTTTTACATATATCTCAAGTATTATTAAGTTGACCATGTATAATTTGTATAGATAACAAATCATTGAATTCCGTAGTAGTAGTTGGGAATCCAAATCCAATTTTACGTCAGATTGATACATTGTGATAATGTATTGTCTGGGTTTAATACTTTTGATATCAGAGCAGATAGCCAAATACTATTTTGGAATTATGTGTATTTTTTTTGTATTATTAATAAAATATTTTCAATACCTTTCAGAGCTTGCTTAACAAATGTGTCGTAAGAGGTGCTTAAAATAATTATGATGACAACAATCCCAAAAAAGAATCTGAAATCATAATATATAAATTATTATAAAGATAATAGTATGAAATATTGCTTTAACTTCAACTAGATCTTACTGCCTTATATTCTGATTGCTATTTGGAAAAAATAGAGCAAATTTTGAGTAAGTTATTTTACTCTATATGTTTGTTTTGTTAGATAATGTACTAAATTGAATGAAGCAACTTTTGCATTTCACATAAATAATTTCTTACATCACAAATGCATCAAGATGGTCTAATTCTATGGATTCCAGAGAATTGCACACAATTTCAGGATCATAATTGGCAATTGTAGCGTTCATTTGTCGAACAACATTTTGCAAATGATCACGAATTTGTTTTCCACTACATGAAGATGGTAAGCAAATACCAAATCCTATAGCCAATTCTGTTTCTCCGAGTCCACTTGCAATGCTATAAATTACCATAATAAATATTATAAATGAATATGAAATAATTAAAATGAGAAAACAAGAGTTATTTACCAGCTTAGAGTTCACTACTAAACCAATTATCAAATGATATGGTATGGATATGGTCTTTTTAATCGAATTTTCAACAGACAAACTTATTACTACTGAGAACCAATATAATATTAGTTTTTTATAGAGTATTTTTTCATTCGATAACAATAACAAATTAACAAACTACCCAGGAAATAAACCAGGACTCTCCCAAAATCGCGTAGCAAGACCTATGCTAAAAATCATGTATTATGCTAAAAATCATGTTAGGCATAAACGTCTTAAAGGGGTTCTAATGTATATATATTTATATTTATTTAATTATTGATTTGTTTTATAAATAATAAGTTAGCAAGTTCTAAATTATGAAAGCTGCAGAAACAGAGATCCAGAAAACTGGTAGGTTAAAGGAAAAAAGACTGAAAAAATCTATTGCAGGTTTAATATATTATTTGTTGACTATCATATATGATAAAAAATATATTAGTGCTATATGCAACACTCTTATTATTTAGTAATCAAATTATTTAAAGATTTTGTTAGATGATAACGATGATGATATCGGTGATATGATGATCTTCAATTCATTGTGTGTCGGCGCATTTTGCTACATCTTTATCTTACAGACAGGTGCAATTTTTACCATTGTATTTTTTGATAAAATATCAAGAACAAACGATATGACTTCATGAATGACTTTTTAAAAAATACTTATTATATATATTTTTTTAAAACTAACCCTGTATATAATCTATGCTCAGTCTGCTCAAAATTTTGAGTAATCGCATAAACCATACAATGCTTTCCTCTAATTACACCTTGTGTTTTAGATTGATGATTTATTGCCAAACATTGATCATATTGTCCAAAATCTATCAGATTTCCAGAAAATAAACCAGTTTGAAGTTTGGTCGTTGAATCAATCACTTGATAAAAAAATTAAATATAATTATAATATTTTCTTTAAATTTATATTATTTTGTACATGAACTCACTCATTGCCGACCACTTTTCTTTATTACTTAAACCTAATAAATATTCATTTATCTCCAGATCACATGTAGACGAAGTTAAATCGATCGTCAATAAATAATTCACAACTCTGTCTGAGAATGTCCACATGCTACCTTGACAATGGCATTGTTTAAAAATAGTAAGCAAAATAAAAACTATAAAATATTTTAAAAACATCTTGATGGTATTTTTTAATATATTATGACTACATAATAAAAATAAATTAATAAATTTTATAACAATGATATTAACATTTTGTTGTTTTCGCGTTATTCACATGAATACTAAGTTTTGTATTCTTGAATCGCTTCCGTTTGTTTGGAGTAAATCCCGTAATGTCAATCATTATCTTTATTTACTTAAGAAAGTAGCAGTAGTGTTCGTAAATTTACGGTAAATATGTATGTATATATATAATAAAACATTTTTTGTTAATTTATCACATTATTTATGAATCCAATAATGTTCTTTTCAAGAATTCGATATTTTTCAATGCAGTTTCTTGATGTTGTCATTATGCCTTTAATATCTTATAATTATATCATCTGGCAAAAACAACAAGAACTATATGCTTCACTAGGAGCTTAACATTTTGTGTATAAATATTTATATTTCTGAATTACTTATACAAAATAATATTATTAAAATTTATATGAATAAAACAATTTTAATGTGGCTATTTAAATAATTGTTCTTATTTTTACTTTATTTTCAAGTACTTTGTACTTTATTTTTATTTATTAAACACTATTGTTGTATATGAAATTACATACTTATAAATATTATTTTAATTATAATCAATTTTGATCAATTTATATTCAATTAGTTTAATTTTATTCTATTTGTAGTTCTACTAAAGATAGAACAGTATGATATATAGAATGAGTGTATTTTATGATATTTTTTTAAAATGATCTATAATTAGGCTCATACTATATTGGTTTTCATATGTAATATGACAAAATCTACATTTTTTTTGCATTAATAATATTGGATATATAATTTTTACTAGAAAATGTAATAGGTAAAAATATAGCTTTTTTCCAGCCCATTGCTACATCTAATTAAAATATATAATAAATCTTAGATAAATTCTAATAGAGCAGTTCTTAAAACTGTTAAGTTGCAATTGCAGTTAAAAAATGAAAAAATAAAAGAAACATTTCATTATATATTCATTTTAGGTCTAAAATATTTTATCGTCTTTTTCTTTTAGTATCTCCTTACGTCATCTTGACTTCCACATTTTTATGCAGTTTTATTTTTAATTCATCTATATATTAATTCGAACTTTTCAATTTAATAATTTTGTTTAATTGTAAACTAACTACTTTTTATTGCACATTGTCAGTTGGTAATGATTATGAAAAATTGTATTTATAATTTTTTGTTTGTTGTTTTATTGGTTTCACCTAACTTCACGTTGCTAATCATCCATGATTATACTCTTCTTTTATCTAGGATTGTAGAAAATACTCTTCTCTATATTAATTATTCTAATATATTAAGTTCAACTTTTTCAATTTAATAATTTTATTTAACGGTAGATTAACGAATTTGTGTTGGACAGTTGGTATTAGTTAAAAAACATTGATGTTATTATTTTTGGTATGTTGTTTTATTGGATTCAACTAACTTCACGTTGCTATTCCATCCAGGATTAAAGGAAATACTATAGGAAATAGTTTTCTTTTATCTATGGGATATACTAATATATTATGTTCTGTTATTATTATATTTTTGTTGTAAATGCCACTGTTTATTATACTTTGCTAATTTAATGAGTTCACTCAAAATTTTTCTTTTTTTTAATTTTATGTTTTCTATGTCAGTTGTGTTGACTTTAAGTTCTAATTTAATTCTTAGTTTACCTATATAAAGATTTGATTATTTGGTTTATAATCGTTTTAAAAAACGTAAAAATTCATATTTTTTCTAAATTTTAAGTTCCTTCTTTGTATGCGTCATGAAACTCTTCATGCAACAAGTATTGCAAAAAATTTAGGCGAAAATGTAAATGGCGGTATTACAGGTAGCTGTAAGGATTCGAGACAAATAAGACAGATCAGAATCAGATACACTATCATTCTATTGACATTCGTGCAATTTGTAAATATAGCAGGTTATTTATTTAATAGTGCAATGAAATTTAAATATTAAACAGTACTTCGAACAAAATAAAGGTATGTGAGTTGAATAACCTACAATTACTTTTGCACAATAACATCTGACAAATTTATAAATATAATACATATATTAATATATATAATATGGATTTATGTATAACCTGATTATATATTTTGTCAAAATATGTATTATTGAACAAAATTAGTGCTTGTATAGTTATAGTTTCATTTAAATTTCAAGGATTTATATTAATCTCATTATTTTAGGTTATTTTTCTTATTTTGTAATTTCAAATATTTTATGTTTTTAAGATGTCAGGTCCAACTGAAAATGAGATTGAATTGGAAAAACAATTCCAAGCTGATTTGGAAAAGGCACAAGCGCTTAGTTTAGAGAGCTTAGCATTAGAAAAATATAAAGCACAAAGACGACAAGAATTATTGCAAAATTATGAACGACAATCACTACCAGCCAATAGTAAAGTTTCCACAAGTAATGAATGTAATTAATTATTTATATTTTAGAATAATGATTTATTAATCAAACAAGAGAATGTTTACTCTTAGTAACCATGTACTTTATCATATATGACATTAGTTACTTTGTTTAAATATATTTGCATTTAATGAAGAGTGAAATGAAGTGTTTTTATAATAGCTTTTTGAGATATGCATTTGGAAAAGGAATTTGTGATTTGTGTACAGTGTTTTTTTCATCTTAGCAATGAACTAAATGTCTTCTATATTCTTCCATAAAGTTATCATTGTTATGTTATAAAACTGCTATGATTTTGAACTTAATATCATTAGGAATAAGTTGATAATTATATCTTTGACTCATTTTATTAATATGTAATCTTTTGTGCCGTAATGACATTGGGTATTTCATAAACCTCTAACTTTTTATTTGTCATAATTATACTCTTCAAATCTTAGTTATAAATTTATATTCTATTATCCCTAGATAAGCATACCGAACAACCACTAAAATACAGTGCAAGTACCCCACGACTAAGGCCTTCTTCACTAAATCCCTCAAAAACTTCATCGGTCCCCTCAGCACTTGCACCTCCGCCTCCAATAACCAATCAGAGACGAAATAGTAATGCAGGAATGAACCTGGAAAGATCAAATAGTCCTGTGCCTGATTTGATATCATTCACAAGTCCGGCTGCAAAAAGTGAAGCACATGCAAGCCTTGTCCAATTCTGTGAACAAATGCACAAGTAAGTAGTGTGAATGAATGATGTGATTTATAAATGAACTATTGAATAGTTTATATTTTGACTTCCAGATTAAATACTCAGTCAAATGACAGTCCTACAGTTCCCCCACGACTGAATAGAAGTAACAGTAATTCTAGTAATTTACAATTTTCAAGACAACTTTCAACATGTAGCAGTTTAGCAACATTTCCTCCTGGTCACATCACTCCACCTCCTTCTGCACACTATCCCACACTTCCTCAGGGTTCAACAACAATGCAATTTAATCAGGCGTACAATAATCAGATAGGTCCATTCGCACCATTCAATCCTGGTCCTTTTTTTCCTACCAATCAAGCTCCGATTGGTTGGAATTTTCCAGAAAATCCTAATAATATAAATGCAGGTCTTCAACACATTCCATATAATGTACAAAACCACCAAAATGATCACAATTTCACCCTTAATCGAACAAATTATAATTTTGGACAGAATAACAGTTTTAGTGGTCAACCTTCGGGCATGGGTAAAGAAATTGTAGAACATGTGCCTAAGGTGAGTAATAAGATATATTAGTTATACTTGATATAGTGCTATAGTATGCAATATTAAATAAAATGTGACTGTGATCAATCCGACTTTATTAGAATTGCTTCCTGTGCTTTTTTTTAGTAATCACACATTTGCAATATGTTTTATATTCCTTATACTATATGAATTATTCAAAACAATACAAAAAAGTAGTTCAGTAAACAATGTTGTCTTATTTTGATTTCATTGTATAACATCAAATTAAATACTTTATTTTTGTCTTCAACATTGAAAATTCTTAATTGGATATATGCCAAGATTATGGCACATGTACTACTGATATTGTAACATCACATAGAAAAGCTTATATCATTATGTTATTTTAGTTTTGGATAAATATAAATAATTATTATATATATGAAATTTATTTCATAGACACAGCCACCGACAAAATCAGTTTTAACATTATCATTGAATGATAGGAAACAAACATCTCCAAATAACACATTCAAATCAAATTGGGAAGTGTTCAAAGTAGTTGATAACAACAAAAATAGTAATTTAATAGATTTGCAAGAACTTCCAGAAAAGTAAGTATTTCTTGGATTTTTATCTTGTTATAAATTTTATTTGAAGCACAAAACCATTTCACTATTAATTAGAGAAGTTAAGTGTTATACATAAATATATCATTTGCTCTCTTTTTAATCACTTATCATATTGAGTTATTTACTTTTAAATTTTTTTTCACCTTTTTTTACCCACACTTTACAACTTAAGATAACAAATGTTATCTTGTAGTATGATTTTCTTCAATACTTCATAAGTATGAAATGTATACAATACAGCCGTGGTGTGTTTACTAATAAAAAAATCTGATTAGCTATTCTTGTTTATTTTAAATCAGCATTATTATTTTTTCAGTACCTGTGCTAGTGTTAGAGTCAGTGTACTCGAAGCATTCGATCCATTGTTGATGGGTAATAGTTCCAGCCAAAGTATTAAAGAAAGTACAAAATCATATGCAGGTTAGATTTTATAAAAGTAATTATTTTTATTCTGTGATTTAAATTGTAAGTTTTATGTTTGCTTTTAGTGCATAGTATAATTTATACTCGTAGTAGTTTCATTGTGCTTTGTTTTATTTTGTATGTTATCACTGCTATTAAATATTAGTTTGCATTTATTGACCATTAATTCTAAGACTGATTATGCATATGAATTGAAAGTTATATGTATTTCAATCAACAACCAATCAAAAATGGGTTTACTGTTTATATATTTTTGTTTTATACAATTAGTGAAGCAGAATAAATACTATTTACACATTCTAATCATGTTCAACATTTTGTGAGTCACATATTAAATTGTAAGATCAATAATTTTTATTGCATTCATAGAATTTTGTTGTAAATATGCTATTTATTTAAGCATCATGTTTAAAAAATTAAGAGAATGCATTTTCAAAACATAATGCATTATTTTGTTAGTCTTTGAAGCAAAATTTTGTTTGTTTCATTCTGTTGTAAATATATAGTTAAAGATAAATGTAAACATGTCTATCGAGTATAAATGATTATCATAATATATTTAACATTTGATGGAGATTTAGTGTTATTCACAACTAGCGTTCATAATACAATTATATTCTATAATTTGTAAAAAAACGTAAATATATTTGAACAGTATATTTTATAAAATATTTATTTAAATATTTTTTGCAGGTGATGATACCAAATCGGAATGTTCAGGAAGCATGTATTCGGAATACGATCCTTTCGACTACATGTATTCAAGAGAAAATTCGAATGGATCGGTAGGTGACCCAGTATATGCGGCTGTTACCAAATCTGAACATTTTGCCAGTGGTGTTATAGGATCTTCTTCAGGGTCTGCTCCACAGTCCCCACAAGGTCCTCCGCCTTTGCCTCCTCGAAACAGCGCCGCTTGGAGCACTATCGAACGGCGACGGTCATCTATGGATAGAAGGGTAATTAATAATAATAATTATTTTGTAATTATAATACAGTGATTCCCCGACTTACGAGTGATCTAACATACAAGTGTTTCGAGATACGAGCCACAAAAAGAGCGATTTATTGCTTCGATATACGAGCAAAATTTGATATACGTGCTCTGAGCGAGTGAGAGTTTTCTATAAAAATGTTCATGGCAAAAAGTTAGAAGAAAAATTGTATCAGTTGTAACAATGATTTCTCTATGGAGAAATATTTTGGTTGTTTCATGATAGTGTTTAATTAGTTTATAGTTAGTCATTTCAATTATATATTAATATTAATTGTGTAGAAGCTATTTACCCAGAATATATTGAAGATTGTTTTAACTTTCGAAATTTTAACTGCACATCAACATGATTGTAAATACATTCATATATGTTACGTTAGCGCCTTTTTTGCTTTTTGTATATTCACAAAATTTTATATGCATTTGTAATCTAAATCTAAAGAAAAGTCTAAAGAAAATGGCAATATTTTTTTAATTAATTAAGCGTGAAATTATTGAAAAATATGAGGGCATCATAGATATGTGTTGTGTTTGAACAGGAGTTGATAATGGGTATAACGCTAGCTAAGGGCTTTAAAATAATTTATAAGCGGCTTTCTGAATTCTGAAAGATTGTGGTTAAAAATGACTCCAAAAAAATTGCAATAGATTGGGCATGGAAATTGTTCAACAAAATATGTCTAACTGGCAAAAACAATAATTAAATTAATAAATCTTAGATTAATTTTTATAACTCAAAAAACTCAACAAAAACCGCAGCGCTGCAACGAATTAATGAAATTTCAATGTATTTTTTTGTGCTTTAATCTTGCAGACTTAACATGGCGCATGACCCGGGCGCCAAAAGACGCCCGGGTCATAATGTTGCGTAGCCGATAGATGTTCAAGTAACCGGATGAGTTTCAGAGAGTTTTATAGTGAAAGTAGTCAATTATTGCATTTTTATAATTAGTTTAGTGAGCTAATTTTTACATTTTTATGATCAAGTTCAAATATAGGACCATCCGAAGCAACTTATTACAATGGTGCCATTGGACCCCAATAAGCCCTATCCACTAGGCGATCAGACGACCAGGCAATTTGAGAAAATGATCAATAAATGACGAGTTGTAATATTTTCCATTCTTTGAACATAGATGAAATTTTGAATATTATGAATGAAATTTATATGGGAAAAATGGTTTCAAGTTACAATCAATTAAACTCGAATGTCGGAGTACCACTGTATATCGCTTATAACTCTACAATATTATTTCATATAAAATGTTAATATTTATATTTTCAGAAAAAACTCCGAAAATATCTTCATGAAAATATAAGCGTTCGCAAAAAACGTGCTGCATTACATGATTGTGATCTACAAGCATTCCACGCCATGGTTAAAAAATTAAGAGGTAGTACTTATTTAAATTGATGATAAAAATATTTTTAAAATACGATTATTTAATTTTAGGCGAATTTGTACATACTGATCTTACAACAAATGTTGGATATGTAATAAGTGCAATGATGTCCAGTCAATATAAAGAAGGAACTAGTATAAAAGTATTAGTATATGCCCCAAATTCATTAGGAAATAATGCATGCGAGACAGACATTCCTTTGGTAACATTTACTTGTGATGGTAAGTAAAGAAACATATGCATTTACTTAATTTTTTATTTTTTTATTATTATATTTTATGCAATAAATATGTGGTATGGTCTTAAAGTAGTTATAAGTCATTGTATAAAAATATTTACATAATATTTTCATTTTAGTATGTAGTTCTGTAGAACATGTGATAATTCACGTAGTGTGTGAGTTAGCTGGAGAAAATTCAAGAGATAATTATTTAGACTTCACATTGAAGGTATAATTACCTCAAATCACAATAGTACTAATAATTGTTTTCTCTAATAACTATGATTTATCCTTTAATTTTAGGTATGGGGTTTAGCAGAGTATCTAATGCATGGCACCAGCCTTTCAGATTATGAATATGTTCATCAATGTATAAAGCTTGAACAAGATGTAAAATTAACTTTACTGCCTTCTAAGTTAGTACCGAGACCTTTAGCAAGAACGTCTCAAGATGATGTTAGAGATTCAGAATTAAGCTTAGAGGATATTTTGCCTAATGAACCAGTATCTGCCTTATCACATGAAAATTTATTAATATTATTAGGTAAGAAATTTATATTTGCACAAAATATAATATATTTTTCAGTAACTAAATTTATTTGTTGGAAGTTGATGTATCAATAGAACAAAGAGTAAGTTTTATGAATTTTGAATATTTATTTAAATTTTAATTACAGAGAATTTAGAAAAAGAAATGGAAAAAGTAGAAGCTGCAGCAGCAAGACTGAGTGGTGGAACAGGAGGAGCTTTGCAGTGCAATTGTGTCTGGCAATCGGTAAAAGCTGTATGTGCACTAATGGGGGGTGTGGAGACTTCTGATGTAACAGAAGCCATACAAGGATTCCAAGCTGTGTGTCAGCAAACTCAACAATCAATAGTAAATGAATTTGATTTATCTTTGCAAAAAAAAATTATATATTTTTATATGATTAATATAAAACGTTATTTACTACTATTGCATATACAATTCTTTGATGCATCATGTTTAATTTGTTGTATCGAAAAGTATGATTTAATTACTCTAAATTGCAGGAAAATTTATCTGCTACAAATAATCCAGAGGTTGTCGGAGAAGTGAACAGTGATTATTCATTTGTAAAATTACGATCAATGTCACTGCAAGATTCAATTGCATTGCAATGCAGTAAAATTAGAGATGCTGTTCAAGGACTGATTGAGACGTACAGCAACGCATTCCGCGTCGATTTTCAAATAAATAGTAGAAATAATTCTCCTGCAAGTAAGCGCGATATAAATGATCTCTTTAAATTTTCAGTATTATATGGTAACTATTACTATGATAATATTTTTATTTCTGCAGATTCCGTACAAATGACTGATGTTTCCGATACAGTCTTATTTCATTTGGAAGGTCTACACAGAATGCCTGTAGCTTGGAAGCATGATGATTACACTGTTGTTGCTCAAATTTATCATGGTACCAGGCCAGTTGGAATGTCTGTTCTTTCACAATCAGTAGTTCCTTCTCAAAGTTTTTACAATCGGGTCATGTTTAATTCATGGTTAGTTACATTAAGTAGAATTTATATCTTTAGCATTAATGTGCATATTGAATACTTTCGATTTTATTTTTATCTTCTATATATATATATAAATAAGTCGGATTTTCCTTCCTGACGATATAACTCCAGAACGCACAAACCGATTTCGACAATTTTGCATTTGTTGGAAAGGTTTCGGGCTCCGCAAGGTTTACAGCTAAGAAAATTAGTTGTGCATGGCATCGTGCCTTAATGCAAGCTGCTTGGAACTTCACGCACCGCAATTAAAAACTCGAGTAATGACATTAGTGAGAATTATCAGAATTATGCTTGGTTAGGTCAACGAGCAATTCTTGCCGCAAAGAATAATGATGTACAAGCACTGAATTTCACCATTCAATCAAAAATTGCTGGCGATTTTGTGACATACCTATAATTCCGACTGGTCTTCCGTTTGACTTCAAACGATTGCAATTTCCAGTTCGCCTTCAATCGCTTAGTGTTTGCGGGATAAATTTCAAATAGATTATTTAGAAAATGATTGTTTTTCACATGGGCAGTTATACGTTGCCTGTTCACGAGTTGGAAAATCATCCGCTTTGTTTGTATTAACGTCGGACCAAAAAACAAAAAATGTGGTTTACCAAAGAGCACTTCAATGAAACAGATAATTTGCGGATTCACTTTCATTTACTTAGAGAAGTTCAACTAAAAAACACTTCATTTTTGTAATCGAAATAAATTCATTACTGTTGTATAATAAAATCAAATTTTTCCTTTTCAAATATAAAACAAACAAAAAATTTCTTCATCTTTCTCACGAAACCATCTGGTGGCAAAACGGAGTTCGTCGGGTTTGCTAGTTATATATAAATTTTAAAATAATATTTATAAATATTTATTACACTTGAAATTTATTTTATTCTTTAAGGATGAATTTTGATGGCATCAGTGTATGCACCTTGCCTAGGGAAGCTAGATTAGTATTAGTGTTATATGGAAGAACAATTGTGCCTGCCGAGAGTGGTGATTCAAAAGACCAACAGCCAAGGATACAGCAGGAAGAACTTGGATGGGCCTCATTGCAATTTTTTAATTTTGATAGGTAAATGTTAATACTAGATAATTACATATTTTATCGCATTACATATATTTTATCGTAATATTTTATAGGCAATTAAGTCAAGGTACATTTTTGTTACCATTATGGCCTGCTGCAGCAGATCGACGACTCGGTCCCGCGCCTGCACCAGGAACCCATCCGTTTGGAGATACACATCCTGTTCTAGGCATAGGTAAATAATAATATACTCTTAATTATTTTTAATTTTCTTGCGTAAATATAAAATATTTTATAGAAATTCCGGAGTATGGCGGAAATGTTTCATTCCCTGACACAGTAATGAGAACACCACCGCATCCTTTTTGCGATTTTCGAAGTTTGGATGATAATACACAGCATGAGCTTTTAGAAATTGTTGAGCAAGACACATTTTCAAGACCACCCGCTGAATTACGTGAGGTGAGAACAATACCTTTAAAATTGGCTACGTAACCTGTAGAGCATTTTTTTATTTTTTAGAAAGTTTTTGAAACCTATAAATACTTTTTCAAATCCCACAAAATAATGTTTTTAGTCATTATAAAATACAGATGTGTTTATGTATTGTCATATGTTTGATTTATTTTAGGTTCTTTGGGAAAAGAGGCATTATCTCAGAAGCATGCCTGTGGCATTGCCGAAAGTATTATTAGCTGCTCATAGTTGGGACTGGGCCTGTTTAGCAGATCTGCATTCAATGCTGCACGCATGGGCACCCATGCCTCCTGATCAAGCATTGCAATTGCTAATGCCCTGGTAAGCTATTATTAAAATAGTTGATAATAATATTTGCTTAATTTACAAATAATGCCAATGTAGTTTATAAATGAATATGATGCGCTGATTTTTTATTTTTTTAGTTTTCCTGATATGGAAGTTAGACGAATGGCAGTGTGTTGGCTTGATCAATTAACTTCTGATGAGCTTGTTGATTTTCTTCCTCAATTGGTCCAAGCTCTGAAGCATGAAACTTATGAAACCTCGCCATTAGCGAGATTTTTACTCAATAGGTCTTTAAAATCTCCTAGAGTTGCTCATACTTTATACTGGCTCTTGACACAAAATCTTCCAGGTCAATTTCCACAGGTAAGGGAAGTTTATAATCTGTAGAATATAATAGAATCTGCAGAATATTCCTTTTTTTAGATTATGTTGTGTGCTCTCTAAAATGTTATAAATATATTTGATAAAATTATATCTCATTAAAACACTGAATTTATTACTTTTTAGAACACTTCACCAGATAGTGGAGAAGACACTGTATTAGTGGAATCGAGATATCATCGAAGATTGCAACTGTTATTAAGAGCTCTTTTAGCAATATGTGGAGAAGCTTTGCAATCAAGATTTTTATCTCAGCAAATGCTATGCAAGGTATTTATTAGTAATTTGGAGGAATAAATTTAAATTCATTGAAAAAAAAAATGAAATAATGAATCTATAATGCTATTAAATTTAGGAATCTTAGTGGAAATTTTTTTGTTATAAATTTCACTCAGATTTGTTATGATGTCTTGTTTGCATTATTTCAGTTTTATTAGCATTGTTCTTTTTAAAAAAGCTAAATTATTTTTTTTCTTTACAGAATTTGTATGAAATAGCAGAAAATGTGAAACAAACCAAAGAATCATTAAGATTAAATAATTTATTTACTTACTTGGAGCCAGTTCATCACATGTTATCATCTACAAGGACAAGCTTACCACTTAGTCCAAGTTTAGAAGTTGCTGGTGTTCATATTCGCTCATGTGCATATTTTCCATCAAATACATTGCCCTTGAAGATTAGTTTTTTAAGTGCTGATAACGGAATTATACCTGCCATATTTAAGGTAAATTATTCCGAAATTAATTTGTTTTATTTTACAGGTATATTATACAATTGATAATTATGGGTTGTGTTATATAATTTATAAAATTATTTTATTAATTGTGTATTTTAGGTTGGCGATGATCTGCAACAAGATATGTTGACATTGCAAATGATGAGAGTTATGGACAAAATGTGGTTGAGAGAAGGTTTAGATTTAAAAATGGTTACTTTTGCTTGCGTACCCACCGGACCTAAAAGAGGTAATATTTAAATAGATTTGATTGCATTTATCTTATACTGATCACTTCAATTTTTAATGCAGGTATGATAGAAATGGTGACTAATGCCGAAACATTAAGAAAAATTCAGGTTGAATGGGGTTTGACTGGTTCTTTTAAGGATAAACCAATTGCAGAATGGCTTGCAAAGCATAATCCATCTGAATTGGAGTACGAAAGGGCAGTAGCTAATTTTACAGGTAAAGATAAATAATGGATATTGATAATTTACTATATAAGTAATAACAGATATATTTTTTCATTATTAGAGTGTAATCGTATGTTTAACATGGCATTACTTGTATAATTGTATCTAATTTTTACATTTATTCATCTTTTTTAAACAATTAAATATAGCAAATTTGTTTTATATATTTCAGCATCCTGTGCAGGCTACAGTGTTGCTACTTATATTCTTGGTATCTGTGATCGTCATAACGACAATATAATGCTCAAAACTTCTGGTCATTTATTTCATATAGATTTTGGAAAATTTTTAGGAGATGCTCAAATGTTTGGAAATTTTAAAAGGTATGTACCTATTATTTCAAATCAAGATTTTTAGGTTCTAATAGCATTTCACTGTTTATAGAGATAGGACACCATTTGTTCTGACTTCGGATATGGCCTATGTTATAAACGGAGGCGATAAACCATCAGCACGTTTTCATCACTTTGTAGATTTGTGTTGTCAAGCATTTAACATAGTTCGCAAACATGGAAATTTAGTGCTACATTTATTTGCTTTGGTAAGTATAATTATAAAATATGATTAAGGCATCTTTTAATATCACACTTTTTGGAAGTTTGCACATACACATACACATTCCTTACAAAATTTAACATAATTTTGAGCATCTTTAAGACACCATATGATTTATTTTTTTGCGATTTAATAAACTTTAAATTAATAACATTTAGATGCATATTTTTATTCCTAATTAGTTTTTTATGCATGGTATAAGTACTATTTTTTTCAATATTTTTTTTTTCTTTTTTTTGTAGATGGCGTCATCAGGTATTCCTGGGGTCACTATGGAAGCCGTTAGTTATGTGCAGAAAGCATTGCTACCAGGACAATCGAATCCTGAAGCATCCGCTACTTTTGCTCGCATGATTGAAGCATCGTTACGTTCTTGGTTTACACAGTTCAACTTTTTCTTGCACAATTTGGCTCAACTTAGATTTACCGGTGACCATGGGGATGGCGAATTATTATCCTTCATTCCAAGAACATATACGTATGTATAGAAACAATCAATAAAGAAGTATAAATACAGTTAATATTTATTTGTAATAATTTATTACTTTTTCTGTTGCAGAATGGCGACTGAAGGTCGATTAACATCAGTGGATTTGTATGGGTTTCAAAAACGTTATGATCCTGAGAAGTATTATGTTTACATATTAAAAGTTGAACGACAAGGACAGCCCGATCCTAGTTTTCTTTTCCGGTCGTATCGGGAGTTTTGTGAATTCCACCAAAAGCTGTGTCTACTCTTTCCTCTTGCAAAATGCCATAGGTAAGTTAATTATTATTAATTCATTCACTATTTATTTTATTTTAATGATAATAATCAATCAAATCATCTTACGTTTACCGTTATCGGTCATTAAATTCTAATAAATATGTTATGACTAATAATTTCGTTAGCCGAAACGAAGATCTAATATTGACGTCTAATATTAACGTATTATACTAAATCGCTTTGAAAAATGTTATAGTTGGGAATAATATAATATGAGCTTATATTATTACCCGCGTGCTATTTTAGCAAATTTTCTATGCTTATGCTATAAATGATTTTATAGAGAGAAATTGATTACATTAAATTCTGCAAAAAATCTTTAATTATATAGCCTAAGAAAAATAATTCAGACAAATTAATTTTTTCATTATTTATTTTTTAAATATTACATGTAAAAAAGCGTAGAATTGAATTCTTTATAAAACATCTCTTATGACAATTGTTTGCTAAACTAATTATCGCATACATCTCTGGTAATATGATTCATATTTCATTTTATACTAATACTTTTAAGAAGCAGTTGAAAAAGCGTGACTACACTCGATAAGCTTCTTAATGTTTTCTCAAAAATATAAATATGACTTAGTTTACATTACTAAACAAACTACCACTAATATAATTTATTACGCATCTGTTTCACTAAAAGAGCACGATTTTTTCAGTTCGCGAACAACTGCTTTATATTTTGTTGTTGTTTCCGAATTTCCCAGAACTTTGTCTACTTTCGACTGAATGCTCAATCTTGGGCTTGGAATTGGTGGTTGCATACGAGACACTGGTGAAGGCTGAATTTCGTGAACAACATCTCCTTCTTCTTGTTCCAAGTCTCGAGCTTCTTTGATTTTGAGATTTCTTTCGCATTCCTGCACCATTTCCCAGGCATCGAATATATTTTCTGAGCCTGAACTATTTCTAGAACTGAACGAATCTGATGTATAAGATGACGGTCCAGATGGAGTTTTAAATGTAACCGTTTTAATAATGTTTGGTAATTGTCTCTGTCTATCCTTTTTTAGCATGCCATTATAAGTTCCATTGAAATTATCTTCAGAATTTACTTCAATTATTTTAGTTTCATACTGCTCATTATATGATTGTTCGTTGCTTCCGTGATAGCCCTGATCATCATCTGCATAGTCTATGGGATAAATTTTTAGCTTTAGTTCTTTAATATTTAAAGGATTTTGCCGAGCATCTATTCTTTCTTCTTCTTGATGATAATTTTCAAACGGTCTGGCATCATGTTTAAGCAAAGTATTCACTATTTGGACATTGTTGTCAGACTCTCTTCTGAGGACATCATTGCTCTTGATGGATTCTTCATCCTCGTACCATTCTCGTGCGTACTTTTTTGAAGTTTTTATTTCGAAGTCGTGTGCATCTGTTTCACTCGTTACTTCCAAATACTCTACATCGTTATCTGTATCATTTCTTATATATTTCTCGTTGTACCACTGGTAATTGTATCTATTTTGTGGATAATTTTCAGCAACATCATGTTCATACACCAGCGATCCCGTAAAACTATTTCTATTGTCATTAGTTTTATAATGTAGAACATCTGTATGTTCTTGATCTTTACTGTTATAAGCAGTTTTTTCTTTGGTCAAATTTAGCACTATTTTAGTGTCTTCTTCAATGTCATATTCTGGTACTGTTTTAATAGTTATATGATTTTGATCCAGTGATGATCTTTGTGATGCTGAGTTTTCATTGTCATCAGTTTTGATTTCCACTCTTGTGATATTTCTAGAATTTGATCGATATATGGGATCTTCGTCAATATCATATTCAGGAATTCTTCTAATATTTCTAATAACGACTTCTTCTTCCTTTGATTCTTCGTTCAGCGAATCCTTGTCCATTTTTATTTCGTAGTATTCAGGATCATCATATGATTTATTACTTTTTACAGATGTAGGTATGTCATCATCGATATCATACTCCAATGTAGGTTTTATGGTTTGTGGTTGTTGTAATTGAGTTGTTACATTTTTGCTATGTTTTCTTTTAAAATTCTGCATCAGCTTCTTCATTGGTTTGGCATTTCCTTCGTCCAAACCTTCAGAATGTTGCTCTGCTTTGTATTTAGACTTTTTGCTTTGTTTAACATCACTGCGAGAAGGTCCTGGCATATCATCGCCCAAACGATCGAATTTCAATTGATTTTCACGAAAATCAACAACTGGTTCATGATTGTCATTGACATCATTTTGCGCAATGCCGTTTCGTATGATATTCTCGCGAGAATATTTATTGCCGTACATTTTCTTCATCACTGAAGGTAAATGCAGGTCGAGTTTCGGTTTACGGGCCATCACATATGCTGGAATTCCCACGTTGGATACTGAAAGAAAATAGTAGAGCACTTTCGTTATATATGATTTTATTTTCAAATTGATTGCTTGCTTGAATAGCATTATAGATTAAAGGCATACATGATATGAAAATTTAAAAATTAATTGTTATATTACTTGGTTTTTCTGGTTCTGGTTCAAAGCCATCTTCAACGCGCCGATATCTTCCGATGAAGGAAACTTCTTCTCTCATTTCTGAAAGCTGAGGATATTCGTTTTCCGTCTTCATATGAATGGTGCCACTCACTTCGCCTCCTAGACTAGGAAGCGGTTTGAGGGATAATCGATGTCGAAATCTCCGCAATTTCAGACCCATGTTCTCAATTGTAACTTGGATTTTACAGAATTATTGTGATTGATTTTGTTCGAAAACACCTGAGAATAAAAGAATTATTGTTAAATAGGAATTCTTTAATTTTGTATAAAGATAACTAGCAAACTTCAAATATAATCCAAAACTAAAATATGAAATGAGGTATGAGCGGTATGAGTTCCAACGAGATGAAGGTTTAGGTTTTCTTCAATTAGAATTAAATTAGAATCAAACAAAATTTTATTATTTAATATCAATCAGGTGCAAATGGCCCTACCCTGAATTACTGCTTCAGTATTACAATAAAGATTTGGTTGCCTTCTGAATAGCTACTTAATTAAAAAAAAATTAAAAACAGTTCACAAGAATCTTAAGTTGTGATCGTTGTTTCAATATAAATAAAAATTAATATTGTTTTGGTATTCTTGTTTCTTATAGCATTTTGACAATTATTTTCAACAAAAAAATTAGTTCAGGTATATGAACTATTAAAGTTTGTTTGCTGAGAACAAGTGTTCTATAAAATCATATCTGAACAAATAAAGACATAAGAATTCATAAATAGTCTTGGATTTCTTATTACGAAAACTTTATCATTAAGTGATGGAAGTCGTTATTTTCATATGAAAATATGTTAGGCATGATCACGACAAAGACGTTAATGACAATAATAAACATTAGTCATTATGTTGCATTACCGATCTTCAGAATTCGTTACGTAATATTATTACATTCACAATTTTATTCAATAATCATTGTTTATTTCCTTGGACTAAGAAAACAACGCCCTTCGTTGCTACTATGAAATTATTTTATTTACAAGGTTCTCGATTTTGTCTCTACTAAAATTTCATAATGATTTTCGTGTCTCATGAAGCACATCGATATATTGAGGTTGAACGACTCAATAATAAACGATTAAATAATATAATAACTTGTGTATTTACCAACTTGCAAAACAGTTGTTGAAATTATTATCCAATATAAGTAAATAGATAATTCTGGATAACTATCTTATAGTTATCATGTGCAAGTAAATAGATGTTCTGAATTATAAATAAAAAGATTTTGAACTAGCACACAAGAGCAAAATTTCTTAGGATTACGAGATTAATGTTGGTGATAAGACATATATGTTTTATTTCTATTTTTCATGAAATTTTGTATTAAAATGTTTGTCTCATTATTGTTCATTATTAAGACATATATAAACAATCTCGGAATTATCACGATTTTCTTTATCGTCCAGAAGTCAGCAATAAAAATGAATGAAATAAAATTTCTATGCTTAAAAATGCGACTACGTGTACATTTTTAATCATATAGTTTCTATACCAAGAAGTCTTGCTTGCTTCTGCTAAATAGGTAATTGCATTTGTTGCCAGATTGTTAATTTTATTATAAATTATTTAATAATATTTTTCGGGTATTTTGATAGATTGGATTGGTAGATTGAAAAGTGGTATCGCTTGGTTTCTGATTTCATAAAAAAACTTTTACCAGAGTATACCATCATTCGATCCTTATTATTCTGCTGCAACCGTCAATGCATATGTGTCAACTTATTACC